TACCCCGGGAAAATATTTGGTGAAGATTTAAACCTTTGCTTGGGCCTGACGATCGGATTTGAGAAGAGAACCGGGGGCAGTGAAAACTATAAATACTTTTTATTTGATTTTACCAGGTAAGGCTCACTCAGATATAAATCTCTTTTTCAGACGCGACCTGACTATCACAAATGCTAACTCAACGAATGTGGCTCATCGTTTGTAAAGGTACAGCAGCCAAAGAGTATACACGCATGATGTTCATTGTAAATGTGGAAGGGGAAAAACCGGAGGACCCGGAGAAAAATCCTCGCGACCACGGGTTGAGAGACATGCAAACTCCAAATATACAGCAGCAGGCGTCAGGTATCGAACCCACGACTTCCTGTACACCAGGCGAGGTAGTTAACATCTCGCCACTGCTGGGAGAGAGGGCGGCGGCGGCGTGGGGGGGGGGGGGAGTTAATGCTTCTGATCCAAGATGCTTCGGAAAGTAAGACGCACCCTTAAACGCGTGTCCGCCTGGTGTCAATGCAGTGGTACAAATCGGGTCTCTCGCGCACACACACACACACACCTACCGGATTATAAGGCGCACCACCAACTTGTGTTTGTAATCACGGGGGATGCGGGGGCGGGGTGCGTCTTATAATCTGGAGAATACGTAAATAATAATCTCGCACTTCTGCTACTCGCGCCATGCTCACCGCGCGAGGCTGCCACGAAGTCGGGGGCCGTGTCTTCAGACGGAGTGAAGTCTGCCAGCAGGCGGCGATGATGCTTTCGTGGGCTTGTATGGCACTGCATGTATGTTGAACTTCTTTGGCGCCGTACGGAGCCAACAGTGCTAATTGGAGGTGCAGGGTGGAAGGTGAAGAACAGGTCTGTCGGAAAGACAGCGTCTGAATGACAGACCTGTTCTTCACCTGAGGACGGCTGCTTGCGTTGTGGCCGAAACGTCGTGAGAATTGTATTTTATTATGTTTTCTTTTTATTATTTTATTATTATTTTATTATTTCCCTTCTACGTGACTTTACCGAAAGAACCAAGAAGATGAATCCCTGCAGTCACGAAAGCTTTAAATCGAAATTTAGTAACATTATCAACATTTTTACGATTGAGAACCAAAGGGGTGCAGCGCTGCGGTAAAGGTTTAGAAACACTGCTCTAATGTAACCCTATAACGTCTCTACGTGTCTCCATGTGTATCTATGGGTTTACTAACTGTATGGTCCAGATTGTTTGGGTCGCATGGCCACAATCGCACGACTGCGGCTCGCCTTGAATGTGGGCTCATTGTGAGAGAGTGACAGGACTCTTGAGGCCACGCAGACAAGAGTTTGCGATGAAGCGATGCACAACAACAAAAAATATCCGCACAGGACAAAACAGAAACATACTTGCTGCACTGCCTTCGCAGACAGGCCGACGAGTCCCGTAGATTGGAGTCTCTCTCTCCACACACACACACGCGACGTCTCAATGTGATCCGTCAACCCTAGATGGATTGGCCAGTCACGCTCGGGACGAGATCGTGGCTGTGTGTCTTGCATGTGGAAACTCCACTGCTGGATGAAGGCCATGTCGGTCCTGAGCTGGCGTCGGCAGCCAAAACATAACAAGAAGAGACGTTTTTTTTCTTGGGAATTCCGCACAAAACTCAACGTGTCAAGAGCCGCAGTGCACGTCAATACGTCAGTGCCGGATGAAGCTAGCGCAGGGCCTGTAGCATATGTTATGAAGGTGCCCTAAATAAAAAAAACACACTTAAATATTAAAACACAAATGTTTAACTTGCATAGTAAAGTAATTGTATTTTTTCATTTGCTATACAGCCATATAATACGACAAATCGCTCACCTTAAACACCCACACGTTCATAAAATTAAAAGCGGTATAGTACTATAGCAATAGAGCAAGTGCAGAATCACTCGAACCGGAATTGATAGCCTTGAAAGCATTTAGGCAATTAAATATTTTATTTCTGGGGTGTACTCAACTCCGCGACTGGGGTACCACTCAATCCGAAATCGGTGCTACTCCGCGATGTCGAACGCGCGCGGTACGCACCGTGGTGGTGCATCGTGTACAGCTCGTCGAGATGAGTCGATTGCCGCATCGCCGACCATCAACAGACTAAAAACGACTGCGTCACGGACATGATGCGAGAGCCGGGGGGACGACTGTGGTACCCCGGGGTACCGCTATGAGGTTCAAATATAGCTACTTTTAATCTTGATGTGAAGCTTTCGTGACTGCAGGAATCCATACTCTTTGCTTTTTTCGGTAAAGTCACGTAGGTATAAAATAAAATAAATCACATGCTTTCCCACCCGATGATGGACGCTTGTGTTGCGCCCGAAACGTCGTGATTTATTTTATGCCTACGTGACTTTACCGAAAAAAACAAAGAGTATGTAGCTACTTTTGCTACGAGGATAATCCGGCGCTGCAATGCGTGGGTACACACGTGGGTACCCACGTGCTGTCCCACGTGGGTACAGCACGTAGGTACAGCATGTGGGTACAGCACGTGCTGTACACACGTGGGTACACACGTGGGTACAGCACGTCACAGAGGAGTCCATGAAGGGCCGCATGCGGCACCGGAGCTGCGGGTTTCCGACCCCCCCCCCCCCCCCCTGGTCGCGAGGGTCGTTTGACCATACTTCACCACGTTGGTCAGTATCGGGGCGGTGAAAGAGGAGGCCTCGACAGCCATCGACGTCTATCACTCGCAAAACCCACGTTCGGAATGGAGCACGGGTCCGTGGGTTCGTAGCGCGGTATGCTAATCACTGCACCACCACTCCACCCCAGTCACTGCTTGTTAAACTCGTTAAACACTAACCGGTGTGTATGTGAGTGTGTGTGTGTTAATGGGCACGCTTTGCTTATTTTTTAATCGTGAGCACTAACGCGTTTGTAATTGTAACCTGCAGTATTTATACACGCACCGATCTGGCTAATCAAGCGGTGCAATAATAGTAGTACAACGTTTCTGTTTTAGCGTCGAAATTTTAAACTTAACATTTGGGCTCATCAGCCGATATCGCCCTTAAACCCCAACTCTTAACGTCTCCGAGTCTCATCAGCAGACTTTGTTTTGGGCCTGCTCAACAAATGCCGCTGATTTGGCCCCGGTGTTTATCGGCACGAGAACACCCCACGAACGGAGTCGAACCCGTTCAGTGCAGCGCAGACGACATTTGAACCGTGCTCGAGATGATCTGCAATGCGCAGCGATGAGCGACCACCCCTACAAAGACGGCGGTCAACGAATCGCCGCGCGATTTCAGAAACGTTTCCTCGGGCCGTCTGGAACGCTCTTCCTCCTCCCGACATGATGAAGCCACTGGGAGCTGTGCACTTTTACATCATCTAGTTTCACAAGCTCACTTCTTTAGAGTCATGTAGAATGTAAATAATAAAATAATGAAAATAACAAATAATAAAATAATTCTCACGACGTTTCGGCCACAACGCAAGCAGCCGTCCTCAGGTGAAGAACAGGTCTGTCGAGAAGACAGAGTCTGAATGGCTCATTTATTATTTTATTATTTTCCTTCTACGTGACTTTACCGAAAGAACCAAGAAGATGAATCCCTGCAGTCACGAAAGCTTTAAATCGAAATTCACTTCTTTAGAACTGCTTTTTGTGTTAAGTTTGTTGTCTCTTACCTCCGCACCGCCGATGAGCACGGTTGGCTATGTAAGGTGCGAACGAAGTTCAACATACATACGCACATACATAACAGATCGCACAGGATGAGAGAGGGGGGGGGGGCTAGGTAGTGAACAGTCGGTGGAGCAGGCTTAACTATATCCATGCTCCAACGTTTATGCTTCCCGCGTTCACCACCAACACGCACTTAGCAGCGTCAAGACAAAGGTTCCCCTATAGCCTCAACAGACTGTTGGGGCAAGTGCTGTTAGCGTGCACCTATGATGGCCGGCACGGCACACGAGGGGGTCGGTGGCCAACACCACGCCCGGCAGCCTTTGTCTCCCCAGCGGCGATCTTTACGACACACCGCACCAGCAGGCACTCATTTGAGGCCGAGCCGACCCAGGGGTGGCCCAGAACCGGTTCAGATAATCGTCACTGGTGTTGGCCGTGAGCGGGACTCGATCTCGGGCCGCCGGGTTCGTAGCGCAGCGCGCTTAACCCGGACACGACGAGGGGGCAGTGGTGGCGGCGGTGGTGGTGGTGAGTCGGTGTGGTCGGAAAACCACCACGCGCCCGGCCGCCTTTGTCTCCCAATGCTAATTAATTCAGAACTCCAAGGTGCTCAGTGCAGGCCGGGCCGTCCGAGTGGAAGCGGTGGTGTGGCCAGCACCACGCCTGGTCGCCTTTGCCTACCCACTGGCGATGTTTACACACCGCACCAGGTCCTCATTGGAGGCATCGTGAGCGGGAATGGAACTCGGGTTTGCAAGGGTCGGAGCGCAACGCGCTAACCACTGCGCCACCGCTCCCCAAAGTTTGGCCACACAACCCGCCACACACGAGGCAACGCGGCGTGGAGGGAGGGCCTTCACCCAGCAGTGGATTTTGAAGATTCATGTACGTTATATTCACTATTATTGTTATTGATATTGTAAGAATTATTTGACAAAATAATTCACATTTCACTCACGGCATCAGTAATGTCATTTTAATGAAACACAAAAAACAACAAAAACCCCATCTCAAACATTGAGCTCCAACCGAGAGCTCTTGTTAAGGAATGTCTAACAGAATAATTAAAACACAGTAAATGATACATTATTATTGTTAACATCATCATTATATTTATCAAATAATAGCCCCCCACACTTCCCGCGATATTGGATGAAATAAACTTTTGTACAAAAATGCTTAAGAAAAAAATATATCGCTATGTAACACGTTTACAAGAGAAAAGTTATTTAACATCGATACTCCTGCAGGCCCGCTCCTTCTCAGTAGTTGTCACTCGTTATAAAATAAACACCATCTCCCCCCCCCCCACACGCCCGCCCCCCCCCCCCCCCCCGAGTAAAATATAAATTTTTAAACATCTTGGTGCCATCATTGTCACACCGGGTCACACACATACTCACTCACACACTCACACACTCACTCACACACTCACACACTCACTCACACACTCACACACTCACACACTCACACACTCACTCACACACTCACACACTCAGGTTGAGATTCCAGTTGGCCACCACGAAGTCAGGGCTCGAAGTGGGTTCGCTCGGGTTCTGTGCAGCACGGTGTCTTCACTATTCACAATGCATCATACCCCCCCCCCCACACTCGCGTAGAGTATATAACATACAAAGAAGACAAAGATCCCCCCTATAGCCTGAACAAACTGTAGGGACAAGTGCTGTTAGCGAGAACCTATAAAGGCCAGCACGGCACACGAGGGGGTGGGTGGCCAGCACCACGCCCGGCTGCTTTTGTCTCCCCAGTGGCGATGTTTTTACACACCGCGCCAGGTACTCATTTGAGGCTGAGTCGACCTAGGGGAGGCCCATGACCGGTTCAGATAATCGTCACTGGGTGTTGGCCGTGAGCGGGAATCGAACTTCGGGTCGCCAGGTTCGTAGCGCAGCGCGCTAACCGCTACACCACCGCTCCCCATAATCACGCACACAGACACACACACACAGTCGCAGTGGATAGACAATCACCCACGATGACAGCGATGATTCACATTTACGTACAAACGACAATTATTACCATTGTGTCGCCACCAAGCGAGGTGCACGTGGTGGGCACGTGAAATGTCGCTCAAAGCTCGACACTCAACACAAACCTATGAACCCCCCCCCCCCCCTCCCTTATGGGATACATAGTTTAGGGGCAATTGCTGTTAGCGAGCACCTATTAATACAGTAATGGTTGCACGACACACAAATAGACAACATACCCATTTAGACGTTCGGGCCAAAGTTGGTCCCAAACGTTCCAAGGACGTGCCAGCAACGTTTTTTGGGCCACAACAATGATCTGGCGGTCCCAACCAAAAATGCCAAACAGCGTTGGTTCAGCATTGGCGCGTAGCCCGGGTTACACAACATCGCATCGATCATCACGACAAAGACACACTTTGAGGTCCGCGTGACGGGTGGATATATCTGCCCGGGAAATGGCTGTCTGGCGGCCTCTCGCGAGCAGCGAGGTGCCCTTTAGACCCAACGAGACACAGGTTCGCTCCCCGGTTCGTTGCCACGTTACATTGAACGAACGAATATAAATATATACATAATATATAATGTGTGTATAACTCGTGTTATGTCTCGAGACATGTGGAAGGGGCGGGGGGGAGGTGATTGTAACTGAAGGACAAATATTCTTTGGTACTTTCGGTAAAGTCACGTAGATAGAAAAAACAAAGGTAAAAAAAACCCGACGACGTTTCGATCACAACACAAGCGATCGTCATCAGGAGGGAAAAGGCTCCTGAAGGCAACGCTGTTCTCACGATCATTCCCCCTTTTTCCTCCTGATGATGATCGCTTGTGTTGTGATCGAAATCGAAACGTCGTTGTTATTTTTACTTTTGTATTTACTTTTATTTTTTCTATCTACGTGACTTTACCCAAAGAATCAAGGACTATGAATTCCCGCATGTCACGAAAGCTTCGAGTCAAAATTTAAGAACACTCATTTATTGTGTTGTATGTTATTATTATTGTGTTTTTTTGGTGGACAAATTTAAAACGATGGACAATTAAATAAATAAATAGAGCCTCCGTTCGGTGAATTTTCCCTTCCCATGCATAACGCTCCACTACCATCACCACCACTGCCGTACGATGGCTTGTCGCACAGAGATGATCGTGCTACCGTTTTGCACAGTTTTATATCGGCAGTGGGACATTCCACGACGCTGTGGCAGGCAGAGGCTACGACCATCTCGGGGTATTTAAACATGCCAGTGTAGTGTACTGCTGACAAGTAAACTCGTGATGCACGAATGTACATCAAGTACAGCTGTCTTTGTCAATCCACTGCTGGTGGGGGGTGGGGGGTAGAGAAAGCAGAAACGACCTCCTCGAGAGGGTAAATATTTGGCCTACTCTTCCACGCTGCCCAAACGTTTTTGATAGAGGTGGGGGTACCCACGTTTCAAGAAACTAAATGCATTGAAATATTCCTGAAAAGTTTTTCTTTTTTAACCGTGACTCATCGTTGATTGACAGGAGATCCTCCAATCGTGCAATGAAGCCAAGGTGTGGCGATGTCAACTTGACATGCAGAGCATGCTGGAACCATTATTTTCTCACGAGTTTTCGCACACACGCACACACACACGCACATTATCACGATTACTAATAATGAATGTCCCGTTTCACCCACGATTATCTCGAATCCTGCTGCCCTTGAACCATAACCCACACGCTCATCGCACGAATAACATTAAAGGCAGAGCATGTAACAGCGTTAGCGCGCCGGTTTATGATTTGCACGTGTTTTATCGTGGGGGGGGGGGGGGGTGGAGGGTGGAGGGTAAGGTGGGGGGAGGAATGATGTTTAAACTTTTGACGAGATTCAACATTAAAACGAAGACATCATTCGGGGTTAAACAATGCACATCGAGAGAGGTTAAACGTGTGCGGGATAACGCAGCGCGACCCGTGTGTAGACACCCCACCGATTGAGAACGAACCGCTCCCTCATTCTCTCCTCCTCCTACGGCCAACTTGCGATGTCGTGCAAGCGACGGCGCCGCGAGACGCGTAGAGACTTTGGAGGGTAGCGTTGTTGTATTTCTCCGACTTCTCTGTACGGTTTGATTTGGGCCTGGCATGTGTGCGTACGCGTGTGTGTGTGTGCGTTTAGGGAGCGGTAGTGCAGCAGTTAGCGCGCTGCGCTACGAACCCGGCGACCCGGGTTCGATTCCCGTTCACGGCTAACACCCAGTGACGATTATCTGAACCGGTCCTGGGCTTCCCCTAGGTCGACTCAGCCTCAAATCAGTACCTGGTGCGGTGTGTAAAACATCGCCACTGGGGAGACAAAGGCGGTCGGGCGTGGTGTTGGCCACCCACTGCCTCGTGTGCCGTGCCGGCCTTCATAGGTGCTCGCTAGCAACACTTGCCCCAACAGTCTGTTAAGGCTATACGGGGGATCTTTGTCTTGTGTGCACGTGTGTAATTGCATACGCAGTGTATGTAAATCTCTCTCTCTCTCTGGCCAGTATCTTCATTGCGATTTGGATGTAACTTGTCCATGAGAGCGAGGAGGGTGACGCGGATTGTCAGTTTGCGACGGTGCAGTGAATCTGAGTCCTCCCCGTTGCCTCCAAGCCCCAGCCTCTGCCCTCCGCCCTCTCCACCCCCCTCCCCCCGTCAGTGGAAGCTCAGCGAGCTGTAGTAAAGAGCGGTGGCGTCCGCGAAGATGGAGATGAGGTTGGAGTCACCGCCGACGGAGGAGGAGGAGGTTGACGATGACGACGACGAGGACGAGGACGACGACGACGAGAGCTGCGACGACGTCGACATCGCGTCCACGCAGTGGCCGAACGAGGCGGCCGGCACGGAGACCGCGGCGCTGTCCAGGTACTGATCGAACTCGTCTCTGTCCACGTCCTCCAGCAGGTCGCTGTGGTTCAGGTGCTCCAGGGAGTCAGGCAGGGCGGTCGGGATGGGCTCCGGCGGTGGAGACAGCTGCCCCATGCTGACAGGCGATCCTGGATAGACGTGATGCTGTTGCTGCTGCTGCTGGTGATGATGAAGGTGCTGCTGCTGCTGCTGGTGATGATGATGGTGCTGCTGCTGGCTTTGCTGCTGCTGCTGATGCTGCTGCTGATGATGATCAAAGTTGTATTCACTGAAATAGATGTTGGAACTCAGGGGTGAAGGGTGCATTAGTGCATTCAGCCCACCCGCTTGATGATGATGATGATGCGGAGGAGGAGGAGGAAGATGATGATGGTGAGCAGCAGAGGACGACTGCGCCCCGCAGTCTCCGTAGCCCTGCATCAGAAGAGCTCCGTCGTCCGGGGGGAAGAATGCCGGCTCGTTCTCCACCACGTCCAGGGGTGACATCTCGGGCGTGGGCAAACCGTAGCTCTCGGCCATGGCAAACTGATGCGGGTGATGCTGCTGCTGCTGCTGTTGATGCTGCTGCTGATGCTGATGATGCGGCTGTTGTTGATGCTCTCTGAAGTGGCTCATCGATGGCAGAGGTGGAGACAGGGCGCCAACGCTTCCACCTCCTCCTCCCGCTCCGATGAGTCCGACCCTCTTGCCGAGGGCAGGCTCCCCCTGGAGGACTTCTCCGCCCTCGAGGCGCTTGGCCGCCAGCCTCTTGGCCTGCTTCTTGCGCCGGGGACGGTACTTGTAGTTGGGGTGCTCCTGCATGTGCTGGATTCTCAGCCGCTCCGCCTCGTCCACAAACGGGCGCTTCTCGTCCGCGCTCAGGGAGCGCCACGACCTTCCTGTACACGGGGGGCGAGGAGGTGAGAGGTTAGGAGAGGGATGATGAGAAGGGGACAGGTGAGGGGCAACAGCAATAATAGGAGGAGAGATGAGAGCAGGTGGGTGGGAGGTGAGAGGGGGTGAAGATGGAGGAGGAGTATTTATGTGTGTGTGGGTGATGGACTTCTTTTGCACCGCACGTAAGCCAACCGTGCTAATCGGCGGTGCAGAAGAAGGGAAGAGGTGGAGGAGGAGGGACCACGACTCGCGCAACCATCCGCCAAACTACGACGCACCACAGGCAGACAAGCAGGCTGTGTGCATTCTAAATGTGTGTGTGTGTGTTTTGTGTGTTCGTATACGGGCTGTTTGTACGCACACGCGCGTGTGTTTTTTATTAATACACGTAGTATCGTCATCGTCAGCATCATTATTTACGGGCATGTGTCAATCTCCCGGCGGATTAAAAATGGCTCTCCACGCCCGCGTCGATCATGGTGGCTTTCCTGACCATACTTCACCACGCTGACCGGCGCGGGTTGGTTGGTGACATGGAGGGAGACTGCTTCAGAAATCACTCCCCACTGATGTTTAACCCCGACTGGAAATGGATCTCACTATGATCGGGTTCGTGGCGCTGTGTTCTCACCAGATTAATACTAAACACTAATTGACGGGAATTAACAAAACATCCCAAAAAGAGTTTGGGCAAATATGGGTCAATATTATAATTACAACTAAACATTAACTTGTGATACTTAATTCTGCGGCTTAACTTATCCGATTTTCTTATTCTGCTGAAATGTGCCGTTACGATTATTTAATAAAAAGTTTTAATTTTGTCGCATTATAATTGTTTTCCTATCACGACATTGTCTTTTACGATCTTTACCTCTTTCTGAATTTCAACGTATCGCTCCTCTACTCGAGTCCCGAGACCCGCCTGTGCTGGCGAGATGAATGCATTTGATCCAGAACCTCCCCTTGAAATGAGATACTTTTGATCTCGACCTGTCGGCACAAGCAAGCTTTTTTTTGTTTATAATTAAGCAATTGCATCTTGTAACCAAGATGAGAGCCCATGACTACATATCCTAAGTCTCTTTTCGCAAAATAACAAAACAAACTCTCAAGTCTAAAAACTTTTATGAACTTGATTGGACCTTCTCTCTCTCGCGCTCTCGTGTTTGTAGAAGAAGGCGCGCAACAACAACGCGCGCGCGCCCGCGTCCAATAACAAATATGGCTCTGAAAACATTTATGAACGAAAAACAAACGAACAAATCTCGTGCGTTTAAGATTAAGCTAAATTTAAAGGCGAAGTCTCACTGCTGCTCAAAGTAGCCAGCGCTCATCCTTTTCGCCTTTTGAGCAATTGTGGAAATTCTACATTTTTACGACAAAAACAAGGCCGTAAAAAAACAAAACAAACAACCCCACAACCATTAGGGACTTTCCACAAAACGGTACTCGTTTTACAGACCCCCCGCAGCGATGATGGAACGAGTTCAACTTAATTCTCAACTCCGGTCACCCGCGGTGTTTTTTTTAAGAATAACAAGAACAAGGTAAATGAGCCAGACTTCTGTCCGTCTCTCCGTGTGGAGATGAAACCTTTAAAACTCTTTACTCCATCGACTCATCGGCCTTCTGCCACGGCTAAGTGCTGTTGTGTTATTGTCCAGCGCAGCGATGGAACTCTAATCACACAATAAACAACAAAAAAACCCCAACGATATCCCATCTCCTACCGGCGCAACTTCTTGCTGCCGCACAGCTCTCTCCGCTGTACGTGTCGGCTTCTACCGCGCTTTGTTCGGCGTGATGTCCGACGTTTCGCTCCTTAGGCTACCAAATGTAAGCTCCCAACACGTGGCGCGAAACGTCGGACAACACACCGAACAATGCGCGCGCGCGCCGCACCGAAGACACATCGGAGAAACATTGCACGCGTGTTCGGATTGCGGTTGAGTGCGAGCGCGTCGGTGACGGCGAGGAGCCGCACGACCCCGGCGTTCTCTCTCCCACCGCCCACCCCCAAATGACTCACCAAGCATCTTGCTCAGCTCGGCGTTGTGAAGGTCCGGGTTCTGCTGAGCGAGTCTCTTCCTCTCGTCTTTAGCCCAGACCATGAAGGCGTTCATGGGTCTGCGTATTCTCGACTCGCTCTTCAGTTTCCCGCACGGCTGTTGCTGCTGCTGCTGGTGCTGCTGCTGCTGAAGAATATGATTCTGCTGCTGCTGCTGATGGTGATGATGATGCTGATGTTGATGGTGGTGGTGGTCATGCTGATGAGCTACTGGGGCGGTCTGCTCGCCCCACGGGTACACGGCCCCGAGTCTGGATTGAGGAGGACTGGCGGAGTGAGCGCCCTGCATGGCTGCGCCGAATCGAGAGTTGAGCGACACCGACAGTGCGCACATCTTCGCGATGTCGCCTCTCCCCTCGCGTCTCTCCGCGTGTGACGGCGGTCCGACCACGGGCTACGCAGGCGAGCGGCGGCGAGAGTTGTAGGCGAGTGGGTAGCGAAGCGCTTAGGTGTAGCTTAGGCGGGTAGACGGATTGGAAAATAAGGTTACTGGGCCACGTGCGTCTCAGGTGCGCGCGCGTGCGCAGCGGTCACAGCTCGAGTGACTGATGGCGTTCACGAGGGGGTCTCGGCCGTATTTATGCATCTCCGTGTGTCCACGCGTGTGTGTGTGTGTGTCTGTGTGTGTATACAAGTCGGGAAGTTAACTCAACCACCCCCCCAATGCGGTGGGGTAGGGCTGCGCACGGGAGGAGGGAGGTGGTGGTGATGATGGGGAGGTTGTGTTGGGGTGTGGTTGTGGGTCGATTCGGCAAGTATGCGTGTTGATTGGTGAGTTCTTACAAGTGCACCTCCCTAGACCCTCCCCCCCTCTCTCTCTTTCTCTCCGACCTCCCTGCACCCCCTCGTCCTCACCCCACCCACATGGACACCCAAATCCATCCACCCCCAGTGCCTCCCACACTCAAACACAAACCATCGCGCGGACTGCGCACTGCACGGAATATCCACCGCGCGCTTCGGGTTTCAAAACAGTTCCACGAACAAAACAAAATCTCAGTTGCCCGTCGAGCACAGAATCAAAACGCCAAGGAGCCAGCAACAAACAGCGCCATCAGATGTCCTTAGATGAAAGTTTTTAAGGAGTTGGGGGGGTAGACTCTGGGGAGGGGAGTCCCAGGGTGGCGCAAACAATGAGCTGCGCTGCGAACCCGGCTACCCGAGTTCGATTCCCGCTCACGGCCAACAACCATCGACGATTATCTGGACCGGTGCTGGGGCTCTCCTAGGGTGGACTCAGCCTCAAACGAGTACCTGGTGCGGTGTGCAGTAAACATCGCCACCGGGGAGACAAAGGCGGCCGGACGTGGTGCTGGCCACCTTCAAGAGGTGCTACTCCGCAAATATCACTGGCCCCGACTGCGTGTTAAGGCTTTGCGGGGAGAGGGGAGGGGGGACTTTGTGCGATTGAGCGAGCGAGTGAGTTGTCGTTACCTGCAGTGGTGGTGGTTGAACGCGGTGCGGATGAGAGCGAGACGGTCAGTTTGGTGAGCCGAGTCGTGAACACTGGTGGGAGCAGTCGCCGTGGTAGTAGGGGGGGGGGGGGAATTCCACATTCCTGTGGCGGGGACAAGTTGGAATGTCAACAGTTTGAGTTACTAGCTGCACTCATAGTGTCAATAAGCGATGGAGGGGGTGGGGGAGGGAGCGGTGGCGCTGTGGTTCGCGCACTGCGCTGTGATCTCGGCGCCCTGAGTTCCATTCCCGACCACGGCTGACATCAGTGGCGAGGAGTGGCATCTGAACCGGGCTTGCCCCCCTCCCCCAATCCACCATCATCAACTAACGAACGTGGTGAAGTATGGTCAAATGACCCCCAACAACCGGCACGGCGTGGGCACACCTTCATCCAGCAGTGGATCGGCAAATGAGTGGAAATGAGCGACATTAATAGGATGATTGTTTTTGTGAGTAATAACACAAACATGTAGTCGTTGACGTTTTGGCTGTTCGGTCTCCTTCAGGGCGGTAATGTTTGTTGAATAGATGTGGGATTCACTGTTGAGTCGACAGCGGTAACTTAGTAACTCTCTACGGGACCAAGGAGTAAGTCGCGGGCAACTTTTGACCATTTTCGTATCTCGTCAAAGAGAAACGCGCACAGAAATACATGCAAAGACAACGGTACCCCGTATAGCCTGAACAGACTGTTGGGGCAAGTGCTGTTAGCGGGCAGCGACCCCAGGGGAGGGCCGGCACGGCACGCGTGCGTCCAGCACCACGCCCGGCCGCCTTTGTCTCCCTAGTGCCGATTTTTACACACCGCACCAGGTACTTATTTGAGGTTGAGTCGACCCAGGGGAGGCTCAGGACCGGTTCCGATAATCGTCACTGGGTATTGGCCGTGAGCGGGAATCGAACTCGCGTCGCCGGGCTCGTAGCGCAGCGCGCTGACCGCTACACCACCGTCCCCCGCTACCACCACCACCACCATCATCACGACCACCGTCATCATCACGACGACCACCACCACCATCATCATCATCGTCATCACGACCATCATCATCACCACCACCACCATCATCATCACGAAGACGACCACCACCATCATCATCATCATCACGACCACCGTCATCATCACGAAGACGACCACCACCACCATCACCACCACCACCATCATCATCACGACCACCATCATCATCACGACGACGACCACCACCATCATCATCAACATCACCGTCGCCACCCCCCGCGACAGCCATCGCGACTCCTGCCCCTAACTTGACTGACGCCTCTAGCCGAGGCTGAGTCGACTTAGGGGGGGGGGGTTAGGGGGACCAGGACCCGGGGCGGCGCGGTCAACACCGGCACTGATGATGCTTAACACACCGCGGCAGGAACTCATTCGAGGCTGAGTCGACCTAGGTGGAAGCTCAGGACCGTTCCAAGATGTTTCAAAACACACGCGCGAATGTAAGGCTACTGCTGCTGTCGTGGGACAGTTCGCAAGCACGCTGGACTTTGCAATCCAGAGCTCCACTCGGGTTCGATCTCCGAGCGCGGCAGTTGAATCAACGGGACGGAGTTTTTTTATTGGGCGTGGAGGGGTAAAGTGTGAGTCGCGTCTCACCAGATATTCCCCACAGTTTCAGCATTTCCACAATACTCCCTGCGGCATGCTAGTACTCCCTGAAGTTTAAGTATATCTCCAAGACGACATGCAGCTTTAGGGACTCCCTGCAGAGGAAGTCCCCCCCCCACGATAAGAGTAACTGCAGCATTAGGGACTCCCTGCAGAAACAGCGCCCCCCCCCCAAGACTCCCCTATGGGATTTTAGACTCCCCGCAGTTGCAGTGTCTCCCCTGGGCTTTCTGGAGGATTAGGGACTCCTCCAGGTATTAGCGTCTCTGCGGGACTCCCTGTTGTATCGATGTCTCAACCCCCCCCCCACCCCCCACTCCGTGTCTCCCTCCACCGCCGAATGGATGAACCATTGTAGAGGCGCGCGGCTGGGCGAGAGGCGTCAGTCAAGTTAGGGGCAGGAGTCGCGATGGCTGCCACTGTCGTGGGCGGTGGCGACGGTGATGTTGGTGATGATGGTGGTGGTCGTCGTCGTGATGATGATGGTGGTCGTGATGATGATGTTGGAAGTGGTTAGCGTTACGGTGCGCTACGAACCCGGCGACCCGAGTTCCATTACCGCTCACGGCCACCAACACCAAGTGACGATTATCTGAACCGATGCTGGGCCTCCCCTAGGTTGACTCAGCCTCAAATGAGTACCTGGTGTGATGTGTAAAAAAGCATCGCTAATGGTGAGACAGAGGCGGTCGGGCACGGTGCTGGTCACTAAACCCCTCGTGTGCCGTGCCGGCAAACATAGGTGCTCGCTCACAGCACTTGCCCCAACCATCGTGATGATGATGACGACAGTGGTGGCGATGATGTCAGCTCTAATCTGACACCGCGGGGAGGCGAGAGACTGTAGAGAGCGAGGCCAGGAGAGGCAGTAAAGAGTGTTTATTAAGACTCAAAACTAAGACAAAGATCTCCCGTGTAGTCTTGAGCTGACTGTTGGGGCAAGTGCTGATAGCGGGTAGCACGTATGAAAGTCGGCACGGCACACGAGGGGGGGTGGGCTAGCCAAACGTACTCCCGGTCGCCTTTGTCTTCCCAGTACGTGCGCATCTTATCTTCTATATATATATCGCCTTAAGCCAAGGCGCTTTACGACAATTATTAAAGTGTGCATAAGATGATAGCGGTTAAAATAAACAGTGGAGTTTACACATCGCATCGTTTAAGGGTGAGTTGACCTAGGGGAGGCCCAGGACCGGTTCAAATATTGACCACTTATTGGTCGTGAGTTGGAATCAAACTCGGGGTGCCGGGTCCCGCAGGGCAGTGCGGTGACCACGACACACACAACACAGCGAACAAATACAAAGATCCCCCGTGTAGCCTTAACAGACTGTTGGGGCAAGTGCTGTTAGCGAGCATCTATGAAGGCCGGCACGGCACACGAGGGGGTGGGTATCCAGCAACACGCCGGGCCGCCTTTGTCTCCCCAATGGCGATGTTTACACACCGAACCAGGTATTAATTTGAGACTGAGTCGACTTAGGGGAGGCGCAGGAGGGTTTCAGATAATCGTCACCGGTGGTGTTGGCCGCGAAGCGGGAATCGAACCCGGGTCGCCGGGTTCGTAGCGCAGCGCACAAACCGCTACACTATGTTTCACCTGAAGACGGAAGCTTGTGTTGCCTCCGAAACGTCGTGATTTTATTGTTTTTATTTTATATTAATTTTAATTTCATTTTTTTTACCTACGTGACTTTACCGAAAGAACTAAGAGTATGAATCCTTGCAGTCACGAAAGCTTCAAATCTAGAATCGCTACACTATGACTCAGTGATTGCGGGGGACCTCTAAATCCCAGCGTATTCATTTGCAGAGACCAGTGTGGCAAAACCAATGAATCAATGCGGCTTTTGGGGTGAGGGGGGCAATGGATTCGGGACGTAGCGGTGGCGATATAGAACTACCTCATACAGGAGGTCGTGGGTTCCATCCCGACCCTGACGCCTGCTGCTGTATATTTGGAGTTTGCGGTGTCTCCGAGTTTTGTTTTTCTCTCAGGGTCCCCCCCCCCCTCGACATTTATAATCGACATCACGCGTTTAGAGTATGTGGCTGCTGCTGCTGTAAATGTCCACACGATGAAGCCACGCACTTCGTTGAGCTATCATTTGTAGGCAGGTCGCTTCTGAAAACGAGCTATATGGCTCAGTGGGCCTTACCTGGTAAAATATTTTAAAACGTTTTTTTTTAGTTTAGATTCAGCGTTCACAATGCCGCCCCCCGTCAATACCCCCTCCCCCCCACCCACGATGATCCAACCAGCAGCAGCAGCAGCACAGCAGCGAATTCTGCGAGTTCCAACTCTCAGAAACCCGCTCCCACACGCCCCCACGCTAAACAATGTCACCAACGTTGAAGCCTTCGTCCAGCAGTGGAAAACAAAGGTGCATGTTTCTTAAATCTCATCCCTCCGCCCCTGACCGCTCAGCAGTCAGAATACTCCGCAGGTGGTTTGAGGGGGGGTGTAAAGTGTGGCTACTCCTTCACGTGTAGCCAGCGTGGAAGAGTAGGCCAATTACCA